GTTCGCGAGATTCTTGTGCCTCAAGCTCCCGAGTAGCTGGGATTACAGGTGTGCACTACCACACCCGAGTAATTTTTGTATTTTTAGTTGAGATGGGGTTTCCCCATGTTGGCCAGGCTGGTCTCGAACTCTGACCTCAAGTGATCCACCCGCCTCGGCCTCCCAAAGTGCTGGGATTAACAGGCATGAGCCACTGCGCGCAGCCCAAGCTCACTTTTGAATTCCCTGTCAGAAAAAGCTTTCAGTTCTAGTCCACACCTGAGGATAGGCCTCAGCTTCCCTTTTTTTTTTTTTCTTTTGAGACGGAGTCTCGGCTGAGCACAGTGGCTCACGCCTGTAATCCCAACACTTTGTGAGGCCGAGGTGGGTGCATCACCTGAGGTCGGGAGTTTGAGACCAGCCTGAGCAACATGGAGAAACCCCATATCTACTAAGAATACAAAATTAGCCGGATGTGATAGCACATGCCTGTAGTCCCAGCTACCCGGGAGGCCGAGACAGGAGAATCGCTTGAACCCGGGAGGCAGAGGTTGCCATGAGCCGAGATCGCGCCCTTGCACTCCAGACTGGGCAACAAGAGTGAAACTCCATCTCAAAATTTAAAGACAGAGTTGCCCAAGCTGGAGTGCAACGGTGCAATCTCGGCTCACTGCAACCTCCGCTGCCCGGGTTCAAACGATTCTCCCACCTCAGCCTCCCGAGTAGCTGGGATTACAGGCAGGCACCGCCAGGTCTGCATTTTTAGTAGAGATGGAGTTTCACTCTGTTGACCAGGCTGGTCTTTAACTCCTGACCTCAGGTAATCCACCCGCATGCTTTCCTTTCTTAAGGCATTTACTAAAAAAACGGATTAGAATTGTAAATCCTTCCTCTCTTCGAGATGTTTATGTGTTTCCTACAATTACAGAGTGTTTCTCAAGGGCCTGGAAGCCAGTCCTTTGAAATGAAATCATCAGAAAGGATAGGGCCTCGATCTCCCAGTCTCTGGGAGGATAAAAATCTAACTTTAGTAATTGCCAGGTAGCAGACACATCTGGCCTAATCACATTTATACTGGCAAACCCTGTGTTGTTTTTCACTGCCATGACTCTACTGAGTCCTGCTTGCGTTCCTTTCCTACTCCCTCATTTTCCCTCTAAAATGCCCAGTCACCTCTGCAAGTCAGAATGAAGCTCTCAGCTCTTTCCTCTTCTGTCAGTAGTTACTGAATAAAATCTGTCTTCACTGCTTTAACTAATGTTACTTAAACCACAGATTTCTGGCTTCACACCCAGAGTTTCTGATCCTGGAGGTCTGAGGTGAAGCCTGAAAATGTCCATTTCTAGTAGTTCGCAGGTAATGCTGATGTGCTTGCTCCGGAGACGTACTTTTGAGAATCACTGCTTGGCCGGGCACGGTGGCTCATGCCTGTAATCCCAGCACTTTGGAAGGCCAAGGCGGGTGGATCACCTGAAGTCAGCGGTTTGAAACCAGCCCGGCCAACGTGGTGAAACCCTGTCTCTACTAAAAATACAAAAAAATTAGCCAGCCATGGTGGGGTGTGCCTGTAATCCCAGCTACTCGGGAGGCTGAGGCAGGAGAATTGCTTGAACCTGGGAGGCAGAGGTTGTAGTGAGCTGAGATCATGCCATTGCACTCTAGCCTAGGCAACAAGAGTGAAACTCCATCTCAAAACAAAAAACAAACAAAAAACACAAAAATTAGCCGGGCGTGGTTGTGCATGCCTATAGTCCCAGCTACTCGGGAGGCTGAGGCAGAGGAATCTATTGATCGCTTGAACCCGGGAGGTTAAGGTTGTAATGAGCCGAGATTGCGCCATTGCGCTCCAGCCCGGGCAACAGGGCGAGACTGCATCTCGAAAAGAAAAAAAAAAGAAACAAAGAAAAAGAAAAAAGAAAAGAAAAGAGAATCACTGCTCTGGCTGATCAGTTATGGCCCCTATTCACAGATTTGATTTTCTAGTGATACAGCTTCCTTAAAACCTTATGTGACTGCCTGTTGGTTTCATTTGAGGGGACTCAGAATGCTAAAAACAAGGGCCAAGAATCTTGTCAAGCTAGGCTCTTTGAAGCTTCAGATCTACTAAAGGGAATTAGACTGGATCATCCTGTCGTGGCTTCTATTCATCATATTTAGGAGAACTGGAGAACAAGGAGTACTACTTAGGAGGCAGATAGAGATAACTTCATTCCAGTTGCTTTGATGCCAGTTTTCTAATTGGAGAAATCTTTGAGGTGAGATTGAGATTCTCCTGTAATTCAGCAAGGCCAATGAATATCTGACCCTCAGCAAATGCAGATCTCTTGATATAAGCAAAGGGGCGGCTGTTTTGAGTCACCAGAGCAATTAGCAACTGCTTCACTGTCACATAACACACAATGCCAACTTCCTTCCCATCA